TACTGAAGAAGACCTGATCTAATCTCTGGGTGCATCAAGACCAGAGACTGAGTTGATGGTGCAATCTTAGGGCATGGGGCCTTGAGGACAGGCCTGGCTTCAGATTTCATAGAGCTAGGCCTATGCTGATGTCCACAGTGAAGCTGAGTGCTCACTTTACTCTTCCCTCCCTCACATGGATTCTTTAGCTCTTGTGATGGTATTTTCATGAGCATAAAGTTGTTTGTGTTAATGTTTCTGAAAGGAAAAGGGCACTTAAAGTCCTATTCTGCCATCTTGCTGACATCACTATTGGTTCATATTTTAAAATCACTACCTGCTCACTTAGTCTTGCATTAATGAAGAAAAATATCCTATCCCTCATGCCGTTCACTTCCAAATTAATGTTCTGAATCATGGTTGTCTTCATATTAGTCCTCTGCAAAAACAAATCTAAGTCCCTTCTCTACTTTACCTTAATGAGAACTCCTCATTGCTCATCAAACCAGCTTCTCTTTCAATTGAATGTGCTTGTCCTTTGAAACTAACATGTTTTTCCTTCTCACTTTATACATTAACTGAGGTGCCACCATATAGAAATGCCCTCCCTACTGTATCGTGAACTTTCTGACAGAACCCAACTGTTAACACATGGCTCTATTTTCACTTATGATGTCCCTGTAACATAGTCAAGCAATTTTCAAAAAGAGTGCCAAGAACATTCAATGGGGGAAAGGGGTAGTCTTTTCAATAAACATTATAGAAAAACTGGATATCCACATGCAAAAGAATGAAGTTAAACTCTTACCTTAGACAGTACAAAAACATCAAAGACTAAACTTAAGTCCTCAAACTCTAAAATTCATAGAAGAAAATAGTGGAATAGCTCCATAACATTGAATTTGGCACCAATTTTTTTTTTTTTTTTTTTTGGATATGACACCCAAAACCAAGAAAGGAAATAACAAAAGAAAGTGGATAAATTTGGACATCAGAAACAAAACTTTTGTGCAAAAAAACAAACAAAAAACCCAGCAAAAAGGCAAACCATAGATTGAGAGGAAATACTTGCAAATAATTTATCTGATTGAGGGCTAATGTCCAGAATATATAAGCTACTTGTACAAACTCAACATCAAAACAACCATATTACAAAATGGGCAAAGGACCTGAATAGACAATACTCCAAAGAATGGAGACTAAGGGCCAATGAACACGTGAAAAAAAAATTCTCAACATCAGTAATCACTAGATAAATGCAAATCAAAACCAAAAGCAGATGCCACTTTACATCCATTAAGATGGCTATTATCAAAAACAAAACAAAATTACAAGCATTGGTAGGAATGTGGAGAAATTCAAACTCTTGTGCGTTGCTGGTGAGAATGTAAAATGGTGTAACAGAAACAGTACAGTGGCTCCTCAAAAAAAAAAAAAAGAAAAAAGAAATACCAGATAGTCCAACAATTCTACTTCTGGGTGTATACACAAAGGAATTGAAAGCAAGGACTCAAACAGATATTTGTATATCCATGTTCATAGCAGCATTACTCATAATAGCCAAAAGGTAGAAACAACCCAGGAGTCTATTCATCCACTGATAAACAAAATGGGGTACACACATACAATGGAATATGACTCAGCCTTAAAAGAAAATTCTTACACATGCTATAATATGGATAAACTTGAAAGCATCATGTCACAAAAGAACAAATACTGTCTAATTCCACACGCAGGGTACTCAGAGTAATAAAATTCATAGACCTAAAATAGAATGGTGGTTGCCAGGTACTAGAAGAAGGGGGTATAGGAGTTTTTGCTTAAAGAGTTCAGAGCTTCAAGTGGTAGCGCGCTCGCCTGGCATGCGCGGGGTGCTGGGTTCGATCCTCAGCACCACATAAAAATAAAATAAAGATGTTGTGTCCACCGAAAACTAAAAAATAAATATTAAAAAATTCTCTCTCTCTCTCTCTCTCTAAAAAAAAAGAAAAAAAGAGTATACAGAGCTTCAGTTTTGCAAAATGAAAAAGTTCTGGCAGTAGTGGTGATAGCTGCGCTAAATGTGCCCATATTTAATGCTAATAAAAAGTACATTTAAAAGGGGTAAAAAATAAAATGCACATCCAGATCCAGTAATGTCTTTTCCATTGCCTAAGTCACTGAGTTGTTAAGATGGGAAGGAAACTTGGATCCTGTAATGAAAGTCAGTCTAGGATTAGATGCCAAAAATGCAAACCACACATTTGAGCAACTAATCATGTACTATGTGGTAAAATCAGTTTTACATTGTATGTTTATGATGAGATTTATGATCAAAGCACATGATGAAACATGTTTTACAACTGAATTATTAAAGTACATAGTACACAGTTTAAGTATTCAATAAGTATTTGTTCATTAAATAGGCAGATCAAAGGCAAATGGCAAGTGTCTCAGTAGTGATTTTTTTCAATTCAAAATTCTTAAAAATTGCTAAAAATTAAAATTGTACAAAGTCAAATAAAAAATAAAAAGATAAAAATATCACTCTTTTATATTTACTGTCACCTAATACCCAGTCCCAAATATGAAAGGTAGCCAGTTTGAACAAATTTTTCATATTGCCATATATTATATTATAGACTCAGAGGTTCCTTCTCTGTAACTGCAAAATCTCAAACACCCTGAAAATAGGAAGATTTTTCTAAAATCATTTAGTAGCAAAATCTGAACTCAGTAAAATCTAATCTTGACTGATATTTTTTAAAAATTCCATTTTATGTTATTTAATAACTATTTACATGCTTCACTCCAAAAACGTATTTTTATCTTCTAGTATGGAAAATTTCCAACAGATTAAAAAAAGGAGATGGTATGAGGAAATCTCATGTACACCCGAACAGCTTCAATACTTAATAACTCTTTCTTAATCTTATTGAATGTGTATATCCACAAGCTCTTATTTCCCTTTTGCCCTTAGGATTATTTTGAAGCATATCCCACTTTTCCACTTAATCCATACCTACCTCTCATGGCAGAAATACTGATGCAAATGACTGTAGTCTTGCCCATGATACAAGTGTTCTCTGGAGGTATTACACATAACCCTTAAAAAAGGGGAGTGGGTGGGAATTCCCAAACATATTTTTCTTTTTTGAAAATTTAATTAATTTATTTTTATGTGGTGCTGAGGATTGAACCCAGTGCCTCATGTGTGCTTTAGGCAAGTGCTCTACCAGCCCCAGCTACAGCCCCAGTGCCCAAACACGATTTTTCTAAAATCCAAAGAAATTGAGTTCTAAACAATTCTGAGTTCAAAACACGTAGTCCCAAGGGTTTTAAGTGGGCAATTATGAACCTGCATACACACATATCCACATATATACACATATTTTTCCTCATACAAGTTTTTTATTCTACATGCTATTCTTTTTTTTCTATTCCTGTGCCTTTTGCTATTTAATATACATTTCAATCTTTCCATATTAGCATAATAGAGCTACCCATCTTTAAACAGTTTCGGAGTATTTACTATATGGATATACCAAGAATTATGAATTATGGTTGTAATAAATATTTAACAAATAGTAAAGCAAAAAAATAGTCTTGCTCATAGGTCTTTATATAGATGTTTAAGAAAATGTGCTCCTGGGGTAGAATTGGTAAGTCTGAGGTTATATATACATTTACATTTTTGATGAATATTGTCTAATTGTCCTCCAAAGTTACTGTATTAATATACATTCACACACCTTATGATGTCTGTTTTCTCATTCTCTCACCAATACTGAGTATCAACTTTCAAATATTTGATAATCTTCTAAGTGAAAAAAGTACCAACCTCATTTAATTTAATATGTGTATATTTAACTGAGTAGAGATGAGTAATTTTTAAAGTTTCTCAGCCATTTGATTTTTATATTCTCTTCATGTCTGCTAATGTTTTTAAAAATTTAATTTTGATTATTAAAACTTTTTTATACTATGAAGTTTAATATGCAGTTATGTAAAGTTTAATATATACATACATTTTTATAAAAGTTCATATAACAAAGTTAAAGATAAATCAAACTGGAAAATGTTCATTTCATGATAGTTTGAATATATTAATATACGAAGAATTTTATAGCATAAAGAGTAGTTATAAAAAGTTTTAATATATAAATTCTTATAAAGTTTACATCTATGTACTAAACTTGCTGCACAGTATGACTTATTTCCACTTACTGATTTAAAAAGCCACTTTTACTATACAGTAACTTTCCATATGCAGTTGAGTCTATTTTGGAAAACTAATCTTTTACATTAATCTATTTGTGGGTTATACCAAAATATAGTGATTACAGCTTTAAAACATTTTTTAGTCTCTGACAGGGTTAGTCTCATTTTATTTTTTTTTTGTTTTGAAGTTTTCTAGACATTTTAATATAATTAGTGTCATTTGTCAAATTCCAAAAATAAATGCATGATAGCATTTTTGACTGGATTCAGTCTAAGGATACTACATTTTATATCAAATTTTCACAATGAAAAACAGCTATGTCATAAAAGTTATTTGAGTTACCTTTTCTGTATCTTTGTAAATATTAAAGGTAGTGGTTGTTTTATGTAGGTCTGGAAACTTTTCTTTTTTATTTTATTTTGGATGGTGCTGGTCAAACCCAGGACCTTATACATGCCAGGTAAATAGTTTACCACTGAACTAAACCTCAACCTCAGCCCTGGATACTTCTTGTGAAATCTATAGGGCTGGAGTTGTGGCCCAGTGGTAGAGTGCTTGTCTGGCATGTGTGAGGCCCTGAGTTCAATTGTCAGCACTGCATATAAATAAATCAATTAAATAAAAGATCCATTGACAATTAAGAAATATTTTTTAAAAATTTGTAACAAAATATTTTATTTTTTAAAATATTGTTCTAGTGCTAATCTCTTCCATTATGTTAGTAAACTGCCTATTTGCTTATAGAAAAACTGATTTTTGTATATTGGTTTTGTAAATGATAAATTTACTTGTGAAAATATATGCAGCAATAAAACATTACCTTTGTAAATTCAGAACTTCGTTTGCAATGTCTGTTCCGATACTGCCAGCGCCAAGTACAGTTCCAGTAGACATTCCAGGCACATGGATGCAAGATTGCTTAGGGGATTCTAAGCAACAGCAAAAGAAAAATAATTCAACTGAGACTTTTAAAAAGTATGTAACTTTGATTAATAACTTTCTTTTTTTCCCCCAGTTTTCCAGATCTTTTTCTTTTGTTTTTCATTGATTTTATTTTTTTAAATTACACGACAGTGGAATGCATTACAATTCTTATTACACTTAGCACAATTTTCCATATCATTGTATATAAAGCATGTTCACACCAATTCATGTCTTTATACATGTACTTTTTTTTTTGCATTACAATTCTTATTACGCATATATACCACAATTTTTCATATGGTTAATAACTTTCAATTCAATAATTTTCTAGTTCTCTTTCTCCTCCTACTTTCATCTCCATATGAAGGTCTGAGAAATACTACTTTATTTCTCATATTTCCTAATATTTTTATTACACAAATATATTAGTACAACCCTGTGGTTTAAAACTACCATATTTCACCAATAATCATTACAGATTTTATGCCAAATTTTTTTTTGCAAAATAGTGGGGTGCCACCATTATGTAAAGTTTAAAAAAAAATAGAAATTGTGCTGGTATTACTTAAAAATCATTCATTACTAAACTGTTTTTGGTGCAACATTAGGATGCATGGAATCCTTGTGAATATATGCTAATGAGGTCGTGATAATTATGTGGTGAAATATGGTAACAGATAAGCAAAAGCTGCCCTTAATACTTATAATTTCTGCAACAGATGTTTAACAAGCACCACAACAGACAAGGGATGATGCTGGCTGCCAGGGAAGGCTGTTAAAACATTATTCCTGCTCCTGAAGCCAGGGGGAGCCCAACAGGTGCACAACTCATGGAAACACAATGAAGGCAGTAACCGAAGTGTGAACAAAGTGCTGTGGGCATTCTAAAGGGGACATGGTGGCACTCCTGGGAGTTTCCAAGGGGATACCTATTTCCCTGTGAACTTACTCCCAAATTTGGGATGCCGATAAGCCACCCATAGAAGTCTTCTAATTTCACCTTGAAATTTTCCCCTCCCCAAGACAGAAAAAAAAAGTAACTGCATAATACTATTAAGTAATAGTCTTAATGGTCTTAGCAACAAGTCTTCCACCAACTAAAACCTAAACTTACCTTCTGATGATTGAGAGCTGCAGTGAAATAATGATGCTCCTCTGGTCTCACTATGCCCCCTAGAATTTAGAAAAAACAGGTGATTTTTTCCCCCTAAGATAAAGAAAACTGTTAAAACAACTACATTAAGCTCCATGCATTTGATTTGTCAATTCTTGGCCCATTTAATGTTTTATGTACATGTTAATGTACATATTGTTAATATCACCACATCAAGGTATTTGATGTGCTAATTATCAGGGCCATTACCAAATGCCCTATTAAGTATATGGTCTCACAGCAACAAATTCTCAGTTCCTATCCTAGTGATAAGAAGGCAAAGATTACTGAAATGGTGACAGGGAATGTTTGAGATAAATTTTTGGTGCTTTTTTTTTATATACCAAATATTGCAGATAATAAAATCAATATCTGGGCATGGTGGTACACGCCTGAAATCCCAGCAGCTCGGGAAGCTGAGGCAAGAGGATTGCAAGTTCAAAGCTAGCCTCAGCAACTTAGTAAGACCCTGTCTCAAAATAAAAAATAAAAAGGGTTGGAATGCGGCTCAGTAGTTAAGCCCCCCTGGGTTCAAATCCCTTATACCCAATCAATCAATCAATCAATAGGTCTAATAAAACCTTATAGCATCATAAAAGAGAAACTTGTAGAAAAACAATAAAACTTAGAACAGGGCCATGGGAACATACTGTTGCCAGTCAGGAAAAGTGGGCTCTTCCTTCAGGCTGACACAGCTATAGACAGTGTTGCCTAGCAACACTTGGGCTGGATTTCTACTCACTCACCGGCAAGCCCCACTCAGTCACATGTGGCACCCAGACTGAGAGGATGTACATGCAAAATGACATGCTGTTTAAGGACAAGACAAGATCATGAAGGGTAGGAAGGAAATGCCTAGATAAATGCTTTTACCATCATGTATTACACCAAGCAAAAGTACATTACAAAAGAGCAAACTTTTAGTTTAATTGGGGGAACTATTGCCAATGAACAACTCAGAACACAGCGGGCCCTCTGCATCCTCAAGTTCTGCATCCATGGATTCTACCAACTGCAGACTGAAAATATTTAGGGGGAAAAATTGCATCCATTTGAAATTAATATGAAGGTCTTAAAAGTAAAGTACTTACAAAACTAGTGTGTTGACAGACACAATATATTCTAGTTCTCTGGTCCAAGGATTAGTGAAACTAAACCACTGGCTTTTTAAAGTTACAAAGGAGCCATCTTTCACTCTGAATTTGTATGAGTCTGTAAATATTTTCTCCTTACTCTGTAGAACTTAACAAGAAAAAACATTAATAAATATTAATCAAATTAAATATTAAATTAAAAATTTAACAAAATTAATCTGTAGCAATTGGAGAAATGCAAATGAAAACTACTCTAAGATTTCATCTCACTCCAGTCAGAATGGCAATTATCAAGAATACAAGCAATAATAAGTGTTGGCAAGGATGTGGGGGAAAAGGTATACTCGTACATTGCTGGTGGGACTGTAAATCGGTGCAACCATTTTGGAAAGCAGTATGGAATGGAACCACCATTTGACCCAGCTATCCCACTCCTTGATTTATACCCAAAGGATTTAAAATCAGCATACTAAGTGATATAACTACATCAATGTTTACAGCAGTTCAATTGACAATAGCTAAACTATGGATTCAACCTAGATGCCCTTCAACAGATGAATGGATAAAGAAAATGTGGTACATATATTAGCCTTAAAGAAGAATAAAATTATGGCATTTGTAGATATGGATAGTACAAGAGAATATCATCCTAAATGAAATAAGCCAATCCCCCCAAACCAAAGGCCTAATGTTTTCTCTGATCAGCAGATGCTGATCCATAATGGGGGAGAGGGAGGGAACAATGAAGGGACTTTGGATTATACAGAGGGGAGGGAAGGATGGTGGAATGAGACAGACATTATTACCCTACATACGTGTATGATTACACTACTAGAGTGACCCTGCACCACATTCAGCCTGAGGAATGAGCAGTCGTGCTCTATTTGTGTACAATGTGTCAAAATGCATTCTACTGTTACGTATAACTAATTAGAACAAATTTAAAAATTTAATAAAATTAGATACAATTAAAAACTAAATAGTAATTAAGAATTAATAAAGTAATAGCCAATAAGTATAAGTCACCATAAAAATCAATTCCTTGAAGAATGATTCACATTACTAATTTCACAGGAGGAGAAATTTCAGAGTTGAAGCTGTAATAAAAAAAATCACCCCAAAAGTACTCCGCTCAGGGCACAGCGTACCTGCTTTGTGCTTGTCAGTCAGGTTACTATGGTCATCTTGATGGAAATATTCATAACAAGAAGTTCCCAAAAGTTCCTGAGGCAAATATCCTAAAATGGCTGTTGCCCTGGTTTTAAGATTGAAAACAAACTTCAGAATTGGTGAGTGCACTCCCTCCCAGAACATGGGAGGCCCAGCTGTGGTCAGAATAGCGGGGCTGTGGCCTTGGGGATGAGTGACTATTAGGCTGCCCTTGGTGGCTCTAGCCAGGACTAGGGCTGCACACCAGAACAGTCACACGGACACAGCCCCCCACCCAACCCCAGGAGCGCCCTTACTACTCCCCATCAAAACTGTGGCCACTAGCCAGGCCCAGTCTCCGCATTACTGGTTAACAAATATTTTCCCAATTTACATTTTTGTTTGAACAAATTTACTGACACATCCGTACCCTTGTCTCACCTAAACTTTATTCCCTGCTCTGAAGCCTTAAAAAAAAAAACCCAGCAGTACTACTAAACTACAGCTTTCATAGCCTCAAACACCCCATCGAATGCCACATCTTTATATCATGTAAATGTTTACCTTTGGTCTACGTACACAAATTTTCCATTCATTGCAAACCGTGTTATGAATTCAGTTGGTTTCACTTTAATTTCTCCACTGTTCTGTGGGACAATATACGGATGCAATCTTCCAATGGCAACGAGGCAGGTAAAATGACTGTTGTCTTTCTTGTTGTCCCTCTCCTCTTCCATTCCAACCATATCTGGAGGCCAGCTTCTCAGGTAACCAGTGCAGTGGATGGTACAGAATTTTCTATGATCTAATTAAACATTTTTAGAAAAGGACATTTGCATAATTATAAACTCTAAAACTTCTTACATTGGCATTTACAGTAATTATAATGGCTGTGAAATAGTCTTTAAATATGCTACGGTGAAAGGGGAAGGGAATCGCATCAAAAAGAAACCATCAAGGACAACCCCTAGGGGGCTCCCCTCTCACCCCTGCAAGAGTTCTGTTTCTATTCCACACACCTGAATACTAAATCCTACTCCTTTCATTCTTAAAAAAAAAAAAAAAAAATGCCAGGAACAGTGGCACATGCCTGTAATCCCAGCAGCTAGAGAGGCTGAGGCTGGAAGACCGCAAGTTCAAAGCCAACCTCAGCAATGGCAAGGCACTAAGCAACTCAGGGAGACCCTGTCTCTAAATAAAATACAAAATAGTGCTGGGGATGTGGCTCAGTGGGTCAAGTGCCCCTGAGTTCAGTCCTTGGTACCCCCCCCCCCAAAAAAAAAATATCTGATTAATGATTTTATTAATAGGGTTTTTTTCCCCCCTAGGAACTAAATTAAATTATGTCAGAAAAGTAACTGATTGCTTTAATTTAGGATTAAGTAGGCCTATACTTTATATATTCCAAGTCAGTTTTGTTTTTGTGGTACTAGGGGTCTGATCCAGAGCTTTGGCTATTCCTAGGCCAGGGCTCTATTACTAAGTTACATCCCTAGACCTTTTCATTTTATTTTGAGCAAAGTTTTGCTAAGTTGCTGAAACTGACCTTAAATTTGAGTTCTTCCTGCCTCAGCCTCCAGTAGTTGGGACTATAGGCATGTGCCAATGCTCCCAGTTTCCCAGGGTTTCAAATTATAATAATTATATCTTAGAAAAAGTTAAATTTCATGTCTTTTAGCTTATTAATTTTGGGGGTATATTATAGTTTATATTCATAAGCTTAAAAAGAACATTTAAATCATTATGCATACATTCTTAAATTTCCTATGTTAGCACTTATAATAATAATATACTTGGTATATTATAGAAATATTTTAGGGAATATTTGGATAAATGTAATAAAAGGTAAAGATAAAATCTGCCTAAAAAAATCACTTTTCAGAAAAATCCCAAGCAATGAACTCAGAGGGAACAGCCTGTCAAACAGGTCTACTAGAATAAACAACTGGAAATATCCCATATGCTCAAATATCAGGAAATGCCTAAGAAAACAATGAAATACAACCCAGGCCTAAAAGATGGGCAGTATACAGTTCATAGCAGTCCTCCAAAAAGGGGATTTAGGAGGTAAAAAGTAGAGGGAGAGAAAGGAAAAGTCTTTTAAACAACTTGTTTGTGATCAGATTTAGGAAAATCCAGAACAAGCTTTGTTTTACATTGGCATTATTTGGAAAGACTGTTACCATAATAAATCTTAAAAAGAAAAAAAAAATTTAAGTGGAAGACCATATGGGTTATCTTAAAAAGAGCAAGGTGATAACTGCAAACATGTCTAGAAGACATGTGCCATCCTGTTTTAAGTGCTTTAAATGTATAACTTATTCCATCCTCAGAGTCCTGGGTGAGGTTCTAATATTACCCTCATTGTCTTGGGAACCAGGGTTAATGCCAAAATTGCAGCAGGTACAGGGTGCAGCTGAGGTTTACATCCAAACAGGCTGGTCCAGAGCCCGGATCCTGAGCTACTCATGCCATGCTATTTGTTTGACAGTGAATGCTCTATTATGGGAGGTTCTCAGACAGGAGGTGGAGGGCACAGGTACAAAAGGGTGTTCCCAGTCAGAGGGAACAGCCACAGCAAACAGATGAGACAGTAATCAGATGTGGCTAATGCAGAGGCTGCATGGGTAACAGCTGGAGAATAAAGCAGGGAACACCCTTGAGGTCTTGTAAACCATACACAAGACCTTGCATTCAACACCCAATAGACATCATCTTCTCCACAGTCCATGGATGCCTTAAATAACAAAACTCATGTTCCCTTCCAACCTTAGACCTGGTCTTTATCACTTCTTCCCTAGCCTGATTCATGCCACCACAATTAACCCAGGCAGTTAAATGAGAAACCTAGAACTATTCCATGCTCTTTCCTTTACATCACCCTAATGTCCAACATAACTCAAAGGAATTATAATAGGGATAATCATATATATAATGTTTTCATTCATATTAACAATACTAGGTGGTAGTCAAAAATAATAAGCCTTGCTGGGTGCAGTGCAGTGATGAACACCTCTAATTTTAGCTACTTGGAGGCTTAGGTAGGAGGAGTGTTAAGTTGGAGGCCAGCCTCAGCAACTCAGTGAGACCCTGCCTAAAAATAAAAAGGACTGGGGATATAGCTTGTTGGTAAAGCACCCCTGGGTTCAATCTCCAGTACCAAAACAAACAAACAAAACCCAGACTGGCTGAATAAAACAATATGAAATATTGTTTTTATTTTGTTTTAAACAAACAATATTTTATGCTGCCTATAGTAGGCTTTCTATACCAATAAAGAAAGAGACAAGTGAAAATGATATTCCAAGCAAATGGAATCTTAAAGCAAGTAGGAATAGCTACCCTTACACCTGGCAAACTAGACTAAGACAAAAACTAACAAGAGTCCATGAAGGTCGCTAATGATCAAGGGATTGATTCACCAAGAAGACAAATGTAAATCCATACATACCTAATGTGCGAGCACCAGATTTTATAAAACAAACACTATTAGACCTAAAGGGGGAGAGAAGCGCCAATACAATCATACTAGGGGATTTTAGTACCCACTCTCATTGACAGACAGATTCATCCACACAGAAGTCAACAAAGAAACTAAATGATCTATGAAATGAACTTTTACAGAAAATTCCATCCAACAGCTGCAGAATACATATTTTTTTCATCAATACATGTTATTTTCTCTAGAACAGACCATATGTTAGGTCACAAAACAAGTGTGACCAAGGGCCAGGGACAAGAAATACCTTTCCAAGGTATTCATTCTCTCCTTGTTCTCTTTCATTTTTCCTTCTCTTCCTTCTGAGCCACAAATACTAGCTATTGTTTGATTGCCCCCTGGGAGCCAAGCACTAATGAGTCACATGAAAGACAACTGCACTCCTAGTCTTCATCAGCTCAGTTCAGGCTGCCATAACAAAACACCACACACAGGCCCAAACAAGCAATTTTCTTATAGTGCTAGAGGCTAGACTTCTAAGATCAAGGAACTGGCAGGCTTGGTTTCTCCTGAGGCCTCTCTCCTTGGCTTACAGATGGCCTTTCTCTGTGTGGACGAACAACCCTAGTGTCTCCTAGTCTTCCTCTCAGGACACCAGTCCTATTGGGCAAAGGCTGTACCATTAAGCCCTTGTTTAACCCCATCACCTCTTTAATGCCTCTGAGGGCTATAAATGCAGTCACAGGGAGGTTAGAACTTCAACATACAAATTTGGGGGAAACATAAATTCAGTCCATAACATTCACTTTCTGTAAATTAAGAGGAACTTGCCTAAGGGTACACAGTTCTTAAATGGCAGACCTGACACTAAAACCCTAGGGAATTCAGAGCCCAAGCACTTCCGACTGTGCCCTAAGGCTACCCACCAGCATTTCTGTTGTGAGGTAGAACCCACAACGAGAATCTGGAGCATCTTTGATTCTAAATAGAGGTAAGAATAGTATTTTCATGGGGCTGAGGGAGAGCTCAGTGGTAGAGTGCTTGTCTAGCATACTTGAGGCCCTGGGTTCTATCCCCAGCACCAAAAAAACCAACAACAACAAAAAGGTTTTCATGAGGATTAATTCACTTAGCATAGTATCTGGCATAGGGTAAATGCTTATTGAGTGGATATGAGTGGTTATCATTTTAGGCGGTTGTCAAAAACAATTCAGACCAAAATTTGTAAGTTAAATCCTGTAGCTCCATACAAAAAGCCTCCTAAAGGATAAGAAAACAAATCTCAAGTTGAAATTTGAATTAAAAAATCCTATATAGCTTAGTATATTCTTAGGCAAAAAAAAAAAGTTATAAGATATTTTGCAGTTCCTAAAATTCCCTCACAAAGTTAAACAAATGAGTTTTTAACCAACTCATAAAGCATCTGCAAGATGAATGTAGAAAAGAATTGCAAGACAAATATTTACCAAAGAACCACAATGTCACGAGAATTAAAACCACATCTTGAATATTTTAAGAAACTTTTGCTGAAATTAATCAAAAAAGGCTATTGTCCCATTAACATTTGTGTATGTGTATGTGTGTGTGTGTGTGTGTGTGTGTAACTTCTTTTAAAAAAGATCTTTTATATTTTAAAAAGGAACAGTGGAGTGCCATAACAAAATTTTCATTTCCATCTCTGGTCATCTCCTTTAATAGCTCCCAAACCATAATTTCTTTTTTTTATTTTTTAAAAATATTTTTATATGTATGGATCTTTATTTTATTCATTTATTTATATGTGGTGATGAAAATCGAACCCAATGTCTCACACATGTTAGGCAAGCGCTCTACCACTGAGCCACAACCCTAGCCCCCAAACTACAATTTCAATAGCACTATTAAAATCTTGGTCAATGAAGAAAATATGTAATTACCTGATATATTTGAAAGATACAATGAACCAATCTAAATAATCATGGTTAAAAAACAATCTTATGGGCTGGGGTTGTGGCTCAGCGGTAGAGTGCTCGCCTCACATGCATGAGGCACTGGTTTAATCCTCAGCACCACATAAAAATAAAATACAGATACTGTGTCCAACTAAAACTAAAAAAATAAATATTAAAAAAAAATCTTATTTTCTTAGGTGTTTTTGGTCTTGAAGCCCTGACTATCCATTTTACTTTTTTCTGTACGGAAAGTATTTAGGACATTAAAATTTGCATCTATGCTACAAATCACTTGACATTTCAAAAGGATCATACCTTTCTTCTTTAAGTTGGGTAAACATCCGTGTTCTTCTTTGACAGAGATTTTACAGCTCTTTATTCTGCAGAAGAAAGATCGTCTGGAGCCAGAATACACACGTGTCCTTCCAGCGTGACAATTACTGTGAACAGGCAAACCAGCTTTGGCAGAAGGGGGCAAGAGAAGAGGTGGAAAGGAATATTTTCAAATACTTTTAAAATTTACCTCCTGATGTTTTCTGATCACCTACAGTGTTTTAACAAATTGAGAAAATAAATGATTATTTAAAGCAACATCATGATTATACAATAAATCCTGAACTGAACATACCAAAAAGTGTGGTTGTCAAGCAATCACATTGGACAATTCAAAACACTTGCAGTTTTTCTCCCCCATCATGGGGTGGATAATAAACTTATATGAAATAAAAAATTGAATTAAAAAAAATAAAGAAAAACTTCACTACAACCACTGTCAGTGGCATAGAATTTTTATATCATATTGGCACTCAGCATTTTCAGAGACTAAGTATTTTCACAGAATATAAAGAATTAGTCTACTTCCTGAGACCAGTTAGTATAACAACAAGGTCTTTCATACTGAGAAGAACTAACTCAGGTATTGTCTCTCAGCATATACCTAAGTAATGAAAACTCCAACAATTGTTTTTACCCCAAACAATATCTTCTTAGAAAAATTCATTTGCTTATAAAAAAATAATGACTATGAATCAGTCATATGTTTCCCAAAGCACCTTCATTTGAATTGATCGCTATACTTATTTTCAGGTGTCTGTGTAAGTCTAGGAATTCTCTATATAGCTATGTATTTTTCACCCTCTAGAGCTGGTGAACATAAAGTTCACTAATTCTCTTCTTGATAAAACCTTAATTAGCTGGTTTAAAAAAACTGTACAGCTGTACTTTCAGGTAACAATTATATTTATAGAAAATGATAAATAAGTGAGTACTTACTTTTGGCATCTATTAGCTTCTCTCTTAGTGAAATATCAGAAGAAGAAAGTTGTTCCTTTACTTTGGCAACATCTTTTGGATGTAAGAAGTCAAATAAACTTCGTCCCGTCAAACTAGCCTATTCATAAGGCAGAGGTGCATTTAAAAATCAGTGCCACATTTTTTTTACATTTCCTCACACAGACATATGATAAATATTCCCTATTAAAGGCTGGTTTTCTTAAGCTCAAAGATATATGTCCACTACATGGTGAGACATTGACTAAGTCAGTGTTAGAAGCATGGTGATACTTGTAGACAGAAAAAAATACATGCACTCAGAACTATTCTTGGATACCCACAAACCATATACAAATGCCTAATTCCCAATATTCAGTTAAATCTTGTTACTGTTTTTAACACCCCCCAATTTACATAGTATGTATAAATCACTATAATTTACTTTGAGCTTTTTTATCCTTGATAAAAGCAAAAAGATTACATTATAGAATATGTAAATCACAGAATATCCAATTTTAGAGTATAAGATCGCTATACTCTAAACAAACATAATACTAAAAAAAACAAAAAAAACCCACCCCAGAAAACCTCTTACTCCCCTGTCTGACTACAATGATCATACCTCTTCTGAACTCCTGAATTACCCAGGTAGACATTCCTGTAGCAGGTGGAACAGATGGACCAGCTGACACAAGAAGACAGAGAGACTAGAAAACTAGCAACCTGACTTATGTACTAGGGTGTCATGTGTTTGGCTGATATAAGTGTATGTCCATAACTCTATACTTTGGAGAAAGTCAGGTTTCTGAATCTGAAAAGCCAACTAGATCCTGTTATCTATCACAGGGATCCCAACATCTTCCCGAGTAGCCAGTGAGCCACTTAAAAGGTCTCTGATGTGAAAAAGTCAGTGCCCAGTGGAACTTAAATCTGTGCCACTGATTTGGAACTTAAATGCTACCCTGTATCATCAGTTATCTTAGCTTGGTGTGTGTGTATGGTGATCTCCAACTCCAATTAAAAAGGAGTCATCAGGTCTTATACCACTCCTGTGTCCCCAGCTGTCACAGCTGCATGATTAACTGGTTCTCAATCCTTCTGCATAAAGGCTTATAATACATCTTTTCTAATATTTAACCCATTACCTATAAATGCCTCATATCCTCCCAACCTTGAAAACAGAGAGGAAATAATGGGAGTTACTCAAGATCAAAGCTGTGGTCTACCTGATTTCTAGTTTATTCACTCTGTCTGATTAGTTTCACTACTGTAGTTTTTGAGTAGCTAGTTGAAATTAAACAGTGCTCAGGAATGAGGTAAGCCAGTTTCACAAAAGATGTGCCTTGGATTTGTTGCCAGAGCTGAAATCAAGAGCTATTATGCAATGTATATAACTTAATAATGAGCAATAATGCTGTCTCTTGACATACAGAAGGGTGACTAACACTTTTCAGACACTCCAGTTTGGTATCTTTTTTAGTCACTGCACCCTGAGAGACAGGTATAATTATTATTTCCCATATTTACATAGAAGGAGGCTGGGGCTCAGGAAAATTAGCCTGCTAAAAGTCAAGAAAAGAACACAGATGTCAGTAATAAAAACCTACCCTCTTTCCAAGTAACTTCTTCTAATTTAGCGAAACCTAATCCAACATCCCATGGATTAGTTGTTTAGAAATAGCTTCAGAAATATGTATTTGTTCAAAAAATTAAATATTGGAAAACATCCTTAGTTTTGGATACCTGATCATAATTAAGTACTTTGGAGACTGACTTAGAAACGAAGAGAATTTTTCCTCTTTCACATCCAACCACAAACAGGAAGCCTTCTGCAGTCTAGGATTTAAAAAAAAACAAAACAATAAAGTGTAAAATATCTTATGTCTTACATTAGTTCAGATGTTAAGGAAAATATGTGGCAATAAAATCAAGAGTGCTTACCGAGATGGTAAAAATCAATTTTAAGAATTTTTAAAAAAATATTTCTTTTAGTTTTCAATAGAGCTTTATTTTATTTATTTATATGCAGTGCTGAGAATCAAACCCAGGGCCTCACATGTGCTAGGCAAGCACTCTATCACTGAGCCCAGCCCCAGCCCAAGAAAATTTATTAGGATGTAAAGATTGATAGATGATCAAACTGAATCCTAGCTTATGTTTTGACATGGAAGCTTTAGCTGTGGAACGTTCAGTTCAGATATTTCCTAATATAAAAATTACCTTGACCAAATTCTACTCTCCTACATACAGGAACTCTAGTCATCCAAAAAAAAAAAAAACAAACAAAAACAAAAACCCACCCATAGTGAGGATGGAGGGTGTGCTGAGGTGAGGGCATTGCGCAGGTCAGGAAAGGTTGGACATGCGTCACTGGACACCTTCACGACACTTTCACATACATTCTGAATAATGCGACCACTCATTCAAAAACAGACTAAAAATTCTAACATATCCTCATCTCCCATGATATCTACCCGACAAATTCCCCTGTGATGCAGCCAATAGGGAAATGGAGATGAACAAACACAGAACAGGAGTCTGGCACTCCTACTTGGCATTCCTTGAACTTATTTTTACCAGTTGGAAACGAGTGAGGTGAATTAGGCACAAATATTCGGGGGAAGGGGATGGGATCCACAGTTATAGGTATGAAGTTATGACTGAAAAAAAAATACAAAGATTTGTGAGAAAGCTTCCCAGAAATACATTTCCCTATGTTTAAAAATTATTATTTTGTTATCTGCAAAAATTCCTATTTATTCATGTTAGGAATACTCTATTTACATTTCATGGTTTAAATAAAAGAAAAACTTTCTAAAAAACAAACAAGAACAACAAAATCTAAGGGCTGGGGATAGTAGAGCACTCGCCCAGCATGTACGAGGCTCTGGGTCCAATCTCCAGCACTGAAAGCAAAAATAAAAAACCTTAAAGAAAAAATGAAGAAAATCATGAAAACATATATGAAGACTGTTTAATAAGAGTACAGCTTGAAGCTCATGTCATAGCAGATGACCAAGACACTTATCATCTGTCCAGGATAAGCCAGTCACATGTCACATCTTCCATGGCAAACCTCCAAACGGTGACTCTGAATCCTCATACATACGGAAGAATAAGGACAGAAATGCATAGACCAACAACCCATTCTGCAAGCTGTGACTGTTAGTGATCAGAGAACAAGATCCTGAGGAACAGGACACTAGTTGGAAAGCTCCAAAAAGGTGACAAGAGTGGGGACAGACACTACACTATGGGACACGAAAACCATCAGGCTGTGTAAGGAGTTCACGTTACAGACAGGCGACAGGGCCCATCCTTCATGTCTCCTTCACTAATAAGGCACACCAATTTCTGTCTTCTATTTCTATATTAGAAGAAATGTGGTAGAATACACATTCTGTATTCTGTGTGTTTGAACAGAAGCAAAGAAAATCTGCCTCCCACTCAGAAATGAAGGGACAAATACAACTTAGACATGTATCCCTTCACTTACCTTAAGGATTAGGTGCCTGAGTTCATTATCCTGAATAAATGAAGGTCTATAGTGATCTCCTAAATAAGAATTTGTCATGCCTAAAAATAAACAGACCAAAAAATTATTGAAAATAGAGTGGAGAGGGAAATGAGGTAAGTTCTCAGTGAGCCCTAGCAAGGCTGCTGGTGCTACTGAGGAGGATGGCGGGGGAGCATTTTCTCTTCTGTAAGCTTTCTCTTCTTCCATTATTACTAGATTAAAAACCTTGCGTTGGGGTTGTAAATCCTTGGGACTACTCATTCCTTTGTATTCAAATTCACAAATAATAAAAGCTTTAAAAAAGCATTATAAAATGCATGTGCAACAATATTCAAGAATACAGAAAAGTTAATTTGATTCTTAAGCTTATTAAAACTCACCATAAGAACTCCCCTGGATGGGGAAAGCCTGGAAATGTAAACAAATTTTATGGATTTGTAGTATTTTCAACTAAAAAAACTCCTTCAAAGATTACATGGAGACTTTAATAATATGCAAAAACTATGTAAAATACAAATGAAATAATTCATTTTGAACCCCTAACTCAGAGATCATTATATTGAAATTAAAGCCTCTAAAGCAAATGAAACATTGGAAACAAAGAGAAGGAATTCGTCAGACCAAAACCTGGGTAAACGTTTGACGAGAGACCAGCAAGAACCCAAACTACCTGTGTTGAGAGCATCCAACCCCGACATGTGATAGCCCTTTGTGGCCACAAGGGGGCGCAGAGGCTGAGCCACATTACCAAAGTGCAAGATCCCCAGGGCAATTGTGATGCAGAAGCAAATCCACTTTCCCCAACTCCCTTTGAAAGAGTTAGGTGGGGATAACACCCCAAGACATTTTAACCACAAATTGACCCTTGAATAGACCTGCAGCCCACACTCACTGATAACCTAAATGACAGGGGACAGAAAACCAAAAGCACTTCATGGTGAGTGGGTTACATTTTCCCAGACTAGTAGCATCCCGAAAAGCCCAGCATAAGCAAAGGAAAATCTCCTCTGTCCAAAAGAACAAGCATCTTAGGCCTCAAAGAATTCCCCTGAATGATTTCTCCTTTGTTATTACGACACAGCACCTGGTGGACTGTAGCAGGAGGGAGTTGAGAAAGAACTGAAAGACACTCAGACAGGGTTCAGGGCCAGGGTACAGCAGTGGAGAAATTCTGAACACAGGGGGGACATTTCTAGATCTGGCTTGAAGCAAGATTGGCAGAGCACATACAGCAGAAGCAAGTTAGGGAAAACCTGTCAGTGAAAATCACGAAAATGAGCGTCCTGACCACACTGGGGAGGAAGCACATGCTGAAGAGAAAGGAGGGCAGAGCAGGTAGGGCTGAGGCTACAGCAGGTTAGCCAACACCACAGATGCTGAGATATTAGATAGAGCCACGAGCTCTAACACACCTGCTTTCAGAATTCCAACAGCAAAAACGACAAGGCAGCATGACTGCTTCACTTTCCCACAATGTTGGTTATGGGTGGCAGAGCTCAAAGGGACCCCAAATGACAATTACCAACACTCTTTCTACCACCTTCCCCGTTAGAAAACTACACTAGCAATTCATATGCATTAATTTTTTTACTTTTTCAAAAATATTTTTTAGTTAGTTATTGGTGGACTTTTATTTATTTAATTAATTTATTTATGTATATGTTTGGTGCTGAGAATCGAACCCCAAGCCTCACACATACCAGGCAAGCACTCTACTACTGAGCCACAACCTCAGCCCCTAATTCTTTACTCTTTAAAAACAACCCCAAAGGCAGATGCATCATCCCCATTCTAGACACATGGAAATTGAGTGTTAGAATGTCAAATGGCTTGTGTAAATCACAGTTATGAAATTCAAGGAGTCTGGATTAGGAAGTTTGCCACCAGGGCCTACACACATGAACCACTCCACTCTGCCACCACTGGCAAACAGACTGCAGACACAGGATGCTCACAGGCTCTCTGAAAGCACATGCTGCAGAGCTGGGCCTCTTCAGACGTGGTCTGCAGACCACAGGCATCAGCAAACCACAGGGAGATGAGGTCAGAATTTAAGAATAAGCAGTTATGACAGTTTTACAGAAGTGCTAACATTTTCATGTCATCTAAGCCCTTGATTATTTTTCCAGTTATCAACTGTATTCTACAATAGGTGGGGAGTAGCAGCAGGTTACACTGTTCCCCCACCCATTTAGTTTGAAAAGCACTACTGAAGAGTGTAGTGGGAAAAAAATTATTTCAACAATGGTCTGTCTTTAAAGTAATTATGGTATGGACCAAGATACACGGTTCACGTGCAGCCCTTGAAAACCCAGCTTCTACACTTCCGCAGAGCAAGCCTGGTATACTCTACCAAGTGTACAGGATGCAGATCCGATGGCCTATGTCACCTCATGCAAGGGGGAGCAGCACTGACTGAAGGACCTGGTGAGGCTGTGTGGATGAGCACCTGACCACTCACTTCAGCTCAGAAGGACTGAAGGCAAAAATTGACACTCTGCTGCAAGGAATCCCCCATGGATTTAGAGAGTGCCTCCTCCCCACCAAGCTCCCATGGCCTCTCACTACACTCAGACCTCTGCTGGGACATTTACCACAGCAGGTTTTAATGATTTTGCCATCAGTCTGTCCCCCTTGTCTGGCCATGAACCCCTAGCGGGCAGAACCTTGACTCATTCATTTTTAAACCCTAGCACAGAGCAGGCATGTAGTTCAATTCGTTGGCTGATCCCTAGCTTAGGTTCTCCTTTCTCAGGACTAACGTGAAAATACATGGGTAATTTCAAGGTTGCAATCAGATGACCTCAGTTGAGCCTGCAAATTTTCATTGCTACAAGATTCAAGGGAAATGCTGCATACACTTTTTGCAAGTCCACTTGTGGGCGAAAGAGAACTTTACTGCACAATAGACTATTATGAAAGTAAGATCTCCAATCACACTCCCAAAAGGAAGCCTCGGGAGTAATACTGCTCTCCTCTAAGTTGCTTCAACTGGACCTGGCAAAGTCTCTGAAGGAAGCCCATGTAATTTCCTTTTCCCTGAAATAGATGTTCCCTGAAAAAGATGGCTTGCAGTGTAGGACAGAGATCTAGACTAAGCCCCTTGGTCAACCTTTGTTCATTCCTTTTTCATACATTTTGAGCCAAATTTTGCCATCATCTTTTAGATCTTTACAAATCTTCAGAGTTTCCTCTGTGGTCTTCAGCTTGCTACTCTGCCAGGTCTTGTCTTCTCAACCCAAGTTTGTATCAAAAATATTACAATATCTAAAACTCAATTTTCTATTTCCATTACCCAGCTCCTCAAATTAGACTGGAGTTATTCCCAAACCAGGTATGGTCTCTGCTATAATGTAGACACATATGCACTTATTATGCTTCAATTTAAAAGTTAGGCTGAACTTGGGGGACTGCTAGTGTCAGACACAAGAACACACACACCAAAAGGCAAGAGCAAAGGACTTGGTACGTGGGAGGATACCTGAGACTGGTAAGGTGTGATGTATTTTAAAGTATCACTGACAAATCTGAATGACGTTTTAAGAGGAATTGAATTCAAGGAGATTGTTTTCAAATAGAAACCTCCCAATGCCTTTATACTGTAATAATTAATACTGCTCCTCAGAACTTCTTAAGTATTGAGAGATATGAAGGGCAAGTAATATCCTCTTCATATTGCACACAGAAAAGCAAGCAGAATATAAAGACTCTGAGTTCACACTGTAAGCTGGAGATAAAGCTTTCATCAGAACCAAGTTTTCTGACTTTCAATATAATATTCTCACCACATACAGACTGAGGACAGACAATGCCTGTAAAGGGGGAAGACACATGGGAATAGAATCTCAATAGCCAGTAACAAAACCAACCAACCAGAGACGCCAATCAGAGAAGACACCAGAAGCTTCTGGGGGAAGCTCCTCTCAAACTTACCTTTTACAGACTTCAGGTGCTGGACAGCCATTCTTAAAACTGTGAGTTTGTCCAGTTTACGGGCCACAGGATTGCACTGAGGGATCATGGCAGACAGTTCTTCAATCAAGTTGTTCATTTTATCTCTTCTCCGCTTTTCGGTTTGGCTATGAGCTTCTCTAAGAGGGAGAGAGAACCTTCTTTATATTACCATTCAGCAGACGCAGAGGCACCCCAGAGGCACCCCAGAGGCACTCCCTGGAGCACCATGAGCCAGGCGAGCTCCGGTGCTCTTCTGCCCAATTCTGGACCTGCAGGTGCCATTTAGGGAAAAGGAAAGAGCTGTGGGAACAGGAAAAGCACTCACAAAATCCCTGTTTCTCTGGCTGGGGATGTAGCTCAGTGGTAGAGCACTTTCCTAGCATGCTCAAGGCCCTGGGTTCCATCCCCAGAGCAGCCCCTCTGTTACTGCCTTCCTTTAGGTTCTTTGCATGGCCCCCAAAGCCTTTTAGAGTTCCTTTTCCCAGTGTTTTCCTCTTCTAGCCCATTACACACATCTTCCAGAAATCACCTTCCTAATTCTCTAAGCCCATTTGCAGTGCCCCAGAGGAAGAGCCAAGCTCCCTGATTCCACTTTGAGATTCTTCACAACCTGGTTCATGTTCCATCTTTGCACATCTTTTCCTGACAGCTCCAAACATCATGTGGCAGCAATGCCCAAAACACTTGTCACAATGTCACACACCTCTTCCACGCCTCACTCTTCACCAGGCTTGGAATGTCTTTTCCTTGCCTAAAAAAATCCTATTTTATTTTCAAAACCAAATTCACTCATTCTTCTGGAAAGCTTTCTCTGACGACTCCCTGACCAATCATTCCCCTTTCTTGTCCACCTCAGTACCTTAAATACCACCATCACATTTCATCCCATCTTAAACACCATCAGTTGTAAAATATACTCACAAGGAAAGAAAAATACCCTCAATTATCAGGAATATGTCACAGATGATAAGACATTTCCCCAGATGATAAAATGTACCAAGAAAAAAATGTAGATCTTAGATTTTAAGAATTATGCTGTTTTATTTCCAATATTTTGCTCTAAACATTTGTCTGTTTCTCCTACAACACTCAGATTGTGGTAACTCTGAAAATACCACGTATGAAGAATTTGGAGAGGGGCTGGGGCTGTGGCTCAGCGGTAGAGCACTCGTCCAGCATGTGAGAAGCACTGGGTCCTATCCTCAGCACCACGTAAAAGTAAATAAATAAAGGTACTGTGTTCATCTACAATAAAAAGAAATACAGGAAGGAAGGAAGAAAAAAAGAAGGAAGATTTGAAGGGGGGAGCAATTTGATGGGAAAGAGGAAAAGTGAAAGGTTTGCCCTGATCTGTTTTTACAGAGACTTTTAATCAAATGGAAAAATGTAATTTTTCCAGATTGCCAGGGGTTGGGGTCAGTGGGAAGAGCACTGGCGGAGACTGCCAATGGTGACATTGCCACCACCCAGCCACTCTCCCTTAGCAAAGCCACTCTGGAGACAAAATAGGTACTTTGGGGGTGAACTGGATGGAATTCAAATTTCATTTACACAAAATTTAGTTATTTGTTCCTTCTTTGATCTAATCATGAGCTTTTAGATTAAGACTTTTAGATTAAGATTTTATGGCGCTGGGGTTGTAGCTCAGTGGTAGAGCGCTCACCTCGCATGCATGTGTGAGGCCCTGGGTTTGATCCTCAGCACCACATAAAAATAAATAAAATAAAGATATTGTGCCCATGTATAGCTAAAAAATATTTTAAAAATTTTCTGATTTAAAGAATGTCACAGCTGGGGCTGGGGTTGTGGCTCAGCGGTTGAGCATTAGCCTCGCAGGCATGTATGAGACCCTGGGTTTGATCCTCAGCACATTAAAAAAAATTAAATGAAGGAATTGTGTCCATCTAAAACTAAAGAAATTTTTATAAAAAGAATGTCATAGCTACTTGTGAAAATGATCCCTGGTTTCTCCCAGAAGTACCCATCAGCATGCGCAGCATCAGTGGTCCAGAGGGAGATGAGTGCAAGTTGGGGACAAGGTGGGCACAAGGTGGGCCACCGTGGAGAGCAATGAACAGTGATGGTGGGAGCTGGGAAACTCTGAGGGAGGCGAAATTACCAGTTTTGAATATGGTAGTTTACTTGAAGGAGCTGAAAATATTTCTGGGGGTTTTATTAAGGAAAGGCATACTTATCAAGAGGTCAGTTCTTTTACTGATGATTTATCAGCCCTCGATTCTAAGTAAAGCAATGGCTACTTAGAACTATGCAAGTGTTTTATAGAATCGACTCAGAAGACAGAATAAATACAGAAAACGCAAAAGTCAGATCCAGACACTTTTTGCCAGATGTAGAAAACAATTCTGTTATTGTTTAAAGAATACATGAAGCTGGGAGCAGTGGCACACACCTATAATCCCAGCAGCTCAGGAGGCTGAGGAAGGAGGATGGCAAGTTCAAAACCAGCCTCAGCAACTTGGCGGGGCCCTATGCAACTCAGGGAGACTCTATCTCAAAATTAAATACAAAAAAGGCCTGAGGATGTGGCTCATTGATTAAGCACTCCCGGTTCAATCCTGGGTACCTAAAAAAAAAAGAATATGTGGACATGAATGACAAAGGGTTTATGATGAAGGATTTCTAACATCAGATGCTTCTCAGATGCAATTTTGATTTGTTCAAAGCATGAATCTGTTGTTTTCCAATACTTAAAGAAACTAATCATTGTTTTTAATAAACAGCTACTCTAAGAGAAATTTAAAGGCACAAAAGCCAAAATGTTATTCATGTAGATAGAAAGGTAACAGGTCACTGATAACATTGCTCTCAGAGCATAGCAAGTGAGGCAAACCTGAAATTCATGAATAAATTCTAACTTTACATTGTTTTTAGTTTAGCTAAAGGTGTGTGTGTGTATGTGTGTGTGTGTGTGTGTGTGACCTTTTCCACCTACCATGTACCATCTTACAATTCAATGTACCTGAAGGACTTCATTTTTACTTGTTGCTCACCATCTTCCATTCTACAAAAGAGCAGGATAAAATGTCAAACTACATGAAATATCTCTCCTATAATTCTTTTTTGTTTAGTTGTTGATGGACTTTTATTTTTATTTACTTATATATGGTGCTGAGAATCTAACCCAATGCCTCACACATTCGAGGCAAGTGCTCTACCACCGAGCTACAACCCCAGCCCCAGCTCTCCTATAATTCTTGAGAAAGAAATAAATGTGAGATAAATATGATCATCTCATTCCTATGAAATCTTTAGCTATAAATGCTACCTTGAACATGTAAGAATCCAAAATGAGGACTATGTTACATGAGTTGCTTTCCTACCAAAGCTGCTAGGCAATGCCATCCCCATCAGGGAAACCGAACTGATGTTAATGAACAATGAACAATAATTGGTGTGCTACTTGGAAATAATCTCATACCAATTTTGGGAAAGAATAAAACTTTCATAGAAATAGGACTTGGAATGCAGCTCAGTGGCAGGGCACTTGCCTACATGACCAAGTGCTTTGGGTTCCACCCCAAGCACTGAAAAAAAAATATATAGAAAACAGTATTTTTTGGCAAAACGATTGATGACTTAACTAAAAACTTTATGACAGCAGTACTAAAACAGTCCGAAAATGCATTAAAAATGTCATACTTTCATTCAAAAATAACTTTTTTGTCTAATAATCTATCTGGATAGTAAGAAATACTATGAAAATGGGAAACTCTGATCACTTGTAATATTAACTGTGATAATTTCCACATTAGCACAGTCCCTGGCATCAGAAATGTACTCACCAGTGCATCAACAAGTGACATACATTGATGGTGATTCTCAACAGTAAAAAATTATTTAGGCTAAGCAGTTTGTAAAAATATGTATAAAAACATACATTTTCAAGCGAGGTGTAGTGCCTGTAATTCCAGCAGCTCAGTCAGGAAGCTGTCAGGAAGCTGAGGCAGGAGGATCACAAGTTCAAAGCCAGCCTCAGAAAGTTAGTGAGGCCCCAAGCAACTCAGCAAAACCCTGGCTCTAAATAAATTGGGGGGGGGGGAAGAGCTGGGGATGTGGCACAGTGGCTAAGTGCCCCTGGGTTCAATCCCTAGTACAAAAAATAAAAACGAATAAATATATTTATATGCATACACACACACACACATTTCCAAATGTATTATTTTGCTTGTCTTATCTTCTTCCAATCTATTTCCTAAACATGTAGAGACACATATGAAACCAGCTCTGATTATTTAACTTAGCCACAGTCTATGTGTGTGTGGGGTGAAGTTGTACAGATATTTCTGGGTATTCAACAGATATAATAAGCAAAATTCAGGTCACAGTGTATAACTTTTTAGGTCTTGTCTTTTTTTACTTTATAAAATGAATATTTTCCTAGGGTTTTAAATATTCTTAGGAAACATGATTCAAAATAATTAATAGTGGCCCACTGATTAGCTATACAATAATTTACTTAATCATTTTCTAGTGTTGAATATAATCAATATTCTAATATTTTCAACATTATAAATGATATGGCTAATAATATTATGGTGAGTACATCTTAATTATTCTCCTAAAATAAATTCCTAGAAGTAGAATTTATAGAGAGCTGTTTGAATGTTTCTGATTCATCTTAGACAACTTCCCTCTTGAAAGATTTAACAATGATCATTTTCCAGGCTTTGAAAAAAGTCTGGCCTATCTCTGAACTATTTTATTTACTTGAACTCTTTTATTTAAATTTTAATGTTTTTCTTCTTACAATGATCTTTATAGAAAATTTAATCACATTTAAGAAGAGATGCTTATGAATATTCCAAATAAAAAGTACCACTAAAGGGCTGGGCCTGGGGCTCAGAGGTAGACTTGCCTAGCACATGTGAGGCCCAGGTTTAATCCCCAGAATTGAAAAAAAAAAAAAAGACTGTTAAGAAGTTTATTCAAGTGGTACTTCTCCTACTCACTTTTAAATAAAGAACCATTTTTAAGACACATTTTTACATGTTACTTGATTCTCACAACACAGTGCAGTTATCACTATCCCCATTTTACTGATGAAGGAATCAAGGCTATAGCTGTAGTTGCTACTCAAGGCCCTGCAACTACAAGCAGCCAAGTGAAGTTCACTGAGAAGTCCCTTCCAGGATACTTGCCATTTCTCTCAACGCTGTCATTCTGCACTGCGGTTGCTACACATAAAATTCAAACAGCTTCTCTGAAGCCAAAAAGAGGGTCAGATGAAGTCAGCTTCCTTCCCTGTTTCTCTCTTTTATTCATTTATTAAATGAATAAAACAGAAAGTAATTATACAGGTGAATGATCTTCTTCCTAATGGTCTGGAATTAATATACATATATAGAACTTCAATTTCAAAAGGTAAACTTCAGCTTTTTAGAATTGTGCTTTTGCTTTGATTATCAGGGTTTTAGCAAATGAATCCACCGAGTGAACTCATCTCCTTAGCAAAATTCAAATATACTCCAATCATGAAATCCAAATATACTTTTATCTAATGGTCTCTGGCAGAACAGGACAAAGGCAAGAGCCTGAACAATCCATTTGTTCGCAGCACAAACCTAGATAATTAGTGAGTTTGCTATCTGTGTATTTTTTCATGCTGGCATTGGGTCTACAGTCATAATTTTTCACAAATGTCTTTTAATAAGCTTTCTGTTAGTAATAACGTTCTCATTACTTGAATGCATTTTCTTGGCATCTTAACAACAGTAATGCAATTATTTTAAAACACAGTTGCAAGGACTCCTTGAAAACTACTTTCACTGCATTTGAATAAAATGTAGGCATTCCACCAAAACAAATGAAGTCAGAAGCAATCTCAAAAATATGCTCCAGATTTGCCACTTTTCATGTGTCCCTCTTCTTCAAATGTGTTTCTTTGGCTTCTGCAACTCCACCCCCACTCAGAACCACACCTCTTCAGGTTTGGGGTATGCTCTTTTCCTCCCTTCACTGTCTTTAGGGGTACATCCTCAGCCCCCTGCTCTTCCACTCCACACACTTATCCCAGTGATGTGATCCATGCCTGACACTTCATTATTTCTTGTACAATATTGATGTCTCAATCTAATCTCCAAGTCCAGCCTCACCCCTGAGTTCCAGATCTTCATGTCTAACTGCTTACTCCATTCTCGGTGTGTCCAAAACTGAGCTCCTTTCCCCTCAGTCTTGGTAAATGAAAATCCCACCTTCCATCAAGAAGCTCAAATCAGAAAGCATGGATACTTTTCATATTCCCTCTCGCCAAGCAACAGCCACAAGGCCTCAGAGATTCAGTCTTGCAAATATGCCTCAGTCCGTTCCTTCAATGTCTTTCCTCTCCAGGGCCACTCTCTTACTAATGTTCAGAAAACCTAATTCGCAGCAAAAGTTTCTTCTTGACCTGTTCTCTCTGCCTGCTCGTTTTCCTCCTTCCACCCAACCTCCATGCTATTCCTGAGTGATTCTTTGAGAATGTAAGTCTGTACACTTCACACCTACTGGGTGTCATAGCAGGTTCTCAATAACACTTAATGACTACATTCCACAGAATCTTCATCAGAGATCCTTCTAAAAGACTCAGCTATCTATTCAAAACCAACAGTGCCACAGAAAGACTGATCATTCTCATACATTCTTCTTTTCTAAATAATATTAAACACCCCTGGCCTAGGGCTATGACTCATTGTTATTAGAGCACTTGTCTAGCGTGCATGAGGCCCTGGATTTAGATCCCAGGACAACTAAAAAATAAAATAAAATAAATGGAAAAAAAAACAAAACAAAACTAAACACTCTGAGGCTACATAAATAAAAATCAACCTCATCTCTACTGACTGGCTTCCCCAAATCTCTGGAAAAAGTCCAGAGACTCATTTCCCAAGCCTCTGGAAAATATACTGTATAATCAGCATTTTACAAAATCTGTAAAGTACTTTGAAGTCCATCACTTCCTTAGAGGGCACAGAAAATGGTGGGATAAAAGAAGATCTATAGCAGAATGGAGAAGCTGTGGGACAGAGAGCCCATCACGGAGACGTGCATCTCCACTGTCACCACACAGCCTCTTAGGAGGAGAGGGAATATGTCAAACCATAGTCCAGGACTTACCTGCTGCCACTGGGTGCTGATATTTCTATCTTTGTTGAAAGAAGATAGGTAAAGGGATTCTGAGAAAGCTTTTCCACCACTTTTTCTGTCATGATTTCTGACCTGGAAGGAAGGAGGCTTTGGGTCACCCCCTACCCAGATGTACCAGGAAACAGCATGATTGCTACAGGTCACCCGACCCCATCCAAGAGCAGAGAGACAGGAGGCCAGGCACGGTGAAGAAATGCCCCACTCAGAATCAGACTTTCTAATCCATGTGTAATGTTCTCCCCATGGTTAAGTATTGTGATAAAGAAGGCAAGGACCACCGGATGTGGTGGTGCATGCCTGCAATCCCAGTGGCTTGGGAGGCTGAGGCAAAAGGATCGCAGGTTCAAAGTTAGCCTCAGCAACTTAGCAAGGCTGTAAGCAACCTAGTGAGACCCTGTCTCAAAATAAAAAATAAAAAGGACTGGAGATGTGGCTCAGTGGTTAAACGTCCCCGAGTTCAATCCCTGGCATCAAAAAAAGGACAAGTATTTAGCTGTGACCATAAACATTAAGTGAATTCACCTTGTGCTGACATTTCTGAATCCTAGGTTCTTCATTTTCTAAAATGTGGGCAGTTAAGTAAATAATCTTTACTGTTGGCTGCTGCCAAAAAAAAAAAAAAAAATTCAATCTGGCAGTAATTTGCATGTTTGTGATCTTTCCTCTGGGACCATTTCTATTTTCCTATGTACCCCCCAAAACCTCCACATGGCCCCTAGGTGGCAGGAAACACTGGTACCACTTCAACTGAGGTGATCAACAACAGTAGTGCTTGTGATTCTAAAGATGAATGGAAGAGATTAAAAAAAAAAAAAAAAGACTAAGTCACTTTTAGCTCAGATGAGTGGGGACCATCAACTGACTGACAATGAAAAACAGCCAACAGCTTTAGACAAAGTGTCACTTGGTCCACTGCCGCTTCTTGAGCATCGCCTAAATGGAAGAGGCTAAGAGAACAGACAACCAAAATCAGTAGAAGATCTTCCAATCGTTTATACATGGCTTGGGAGGTGCCTTGGTCCTTACATTTGAATCATACTCATTCTTCTGTCTTGAGAATCACAGCTAAATTATGAAGCATACTGGGAAGAACTACATCAAAAAAAGCTGGGATGCTACATTATGTCCTCATCTTTGTCCCAACTCAGAAACTGTCCCCTTCACTTATGGTGGGGACCTATCATCAACTTTCACACCAACGTAAGTGCTAGCCTAGGATGAGTTGCAAACTTTATTGTGCTTTAATTTAAGATGAATTGTTACTTTTATTTTGTCCTAATGTTTCCATCACATAGCTGTCGCTTTAGAGAAGTCACTAAAGAATATTTCAGGGGGTTGGGGATGAGGCTGCTGCTGGGGATGTGGCTCAAGCGGTAGCGTGCTCGCCTGGCATGCGTAGGGCGCTGGGTTTGATCCTCAGCACCACATAAAAATAAAAAAATAAAGATGTTGTGTCTGCTGAGAACTAATTAACTATATATATATGTAATATTTCAGGCTATAAGCCATAGTAGATGACAAAAATAAACAAGGGCATAGTAAGTATTCTCAGCATTCACCTTCCTATCCACATGGCTTAACTAATATGGAAACAAAGAGTTTTATCTGATTAAATTGACCACAGATAACCAAGGATTCATTGGTTATAATGTAAATGATGAGTAAGGTAGTAAGTGGTATTTATTATTTTAAGCCAAATATGCAAGAAGATGTTCTCCTCATGGTTAGTATTTCAATAAAGAAGGCTAGTATCTAGCTGCGACCATAAACATTAAGCAAATTAACCTCATGTACCTACATATCTTTTAGGCTCTGTTGATCCTCCTACGTATCTAATAATCATCAGAGTTGATGGAGAAGTTCCATCTCACTCAATGTCAGGTAGCAGTTGGGTGGATAATCATGTTGCCATGTATTTTATTTCTTGACATAATCTTCCCAGTTTTTATGCCAACTTTTTTTTTTTTTTTTGCAAAAAACTAGGGTGCAATCATTATGTGAAACTTTAAAAAAATGGTGCCCGGGCTGGGGCTATAGCTCTGTGGCAGAGCGCTTGCTTTGCACATGTGAGACACTGGGTTCGATCCTCAGCACCACATAAAAGTGAACAAATAAAATAGAGGCATGCTATCCATCTACAATAAAATGTTTTAAAAAATGGTGCCCATATTATTTAACAATCATTTATTACTAAACTGTCCTTATTGCAAGATTAGGATGCATGAAATAGTTATGACTATATATTAAAGCAGTGGTGACAATTATGCAGTGAAATACAGTATCTAGAAATAGTAATTTAAATAGCAATCTTATTCTCTTTTCCCTAGAGTCAAAGATTTCATGGGGTTACAGCAAAAATCCACTTACTGGGAGGGGTCCGAATCACTTCCTTTGCGTTTTCTTGGAAATTCCATCACATGTGAGCTGAAGGGCCCAACCACTGCTGGTTTCATCCCTGGGCTCACATGACTGGAAACCACAGGAGCAATGCCCTGGTTTTCCTCCAGTAGAACTTTACCTACGAGACACAAAACACAATAAAACAGGTACTTTATTTATTTTTTTTAAAAATGTATATATTTTAGTTGTAGGTGGACATAATACCTATATTTTATCTTTATGTAGTACCGAGGAGCAAACCCAGTGCCTCACACATGCTAGGCAAGCGCTGTACCCTTGAGACACAACCTCAGCCCCAAGAAGCATATTTTAAACACTGATTTGCACTTTTATATATCACTGTATCTCACAATTTAAATAACTTTTCTGTCTTGATGTTTCAAAACTGTCAGCTAAGTATAGCATAAGAAAGACTCAATAGGCACATTCAAACATTAGTTGGAAACATTTATTCATCCATATTTTTAAGTTTACTTTTCCCTATCTAATTGTAAAGGAAATTTGAGTATTGTAGAAAATACAAAAAACACAAAAAAAAAGTAAAAAGAAAGAGGAAACCCAAATTTTACCAATTAATGTTACTATTTTTCTTTATTTTTAACTGATACATAAAAATAAAAATTATACATATTCATGGGGTACCAACCAATGCTTGAGATATTTCCTTTTAGAATTTTTTCTATAGTTGTCATTAAAGTAACTGAGATCAAAGTACAGGCTTGTTATTTACATATTATTGTAACATAACTTTCCAGTGTTATTACAAATTCATGATAAATGATTTTAATGTCTACATATATCATCATGTGCCAGCTCATAGTTACTTAACCACTCTCCTATTGTTAGAATCTGTTTGCTTTCACTTATTTATTTTACCACAGATAATATATATTTTGGTACATAAAGCTTTTTACCTACTTCTGGTTATTTCTTTGGCTAGTATATCAGAAATGAGTTAATAAGGTCAAGTGATGTATTTTTCAACCCTGAATTGCCAAATATGATAGTAAAATCATTTTTTGTTTCCAGTGTGCCTTATTCAATATTTTGCAAAATCTAAAAATCAGAATTAATTACTCCAGAAATAACTAGTAGACCAAACATGGGCCTCCTTAAAGATTCTATTTTTTATATTAAAATGGATATAATAAGTTTAAACTCATTTGTACCTAACAAAATAGACTAAAAAGTATATTTATGGGAAAATATAGTGAATCTCAAAAATTGTGCGGTTCTTTTTAAAAAAAATTTTTTTAGTTGTAGTTGGACATAATCCTTTTTATTTTTAGGTGGTGCTGAGGATCGAACCCAGCTCCTCGCACGTGCTAGGCGAGTGCTCTACCGCTGAGCCACACCTCAGCCCCCCAAAATTGTGAGATTCTGAACACATCTCTAAAAATAGCTGATAAACTAAGCATTTAAAAAAAAAAAGGATTTAGAAGGTGTGAACCACACGATGGACAAGAATGATATAATAAACACATGAACCTCGGAGCTTCAAAATCTAGTGTTGCTTGTTTTAGGACACCCTGGGGGCATTATAAAAATTGGAAGTATATGGGACCAAAATGCTCAAGTCTCAAGAATTTCAAATAATTGCTATCATACATAAAATGTTTTCTGACTACCATGTAATAACACTAGAAACCAGTAACGCAAAGATAACCAGAAAATCCCTATGTTTTTGGAAAATTAGAAATATACAAAACTCACAGGACAAGAATTTATTTTTTCTTTTCTTTTTTAAATTTTTCTTTAAATTTGTAGTTAGACATAATACCTTTATTTTATTAATTTATCTTTATGTGGTGCTGAGGATCAAACCTAATGCCTTGCATGTGCTAGGTGAGTGCCATAACCCCAGCCCTATTTTTTCTTTCTTTATTTATCTTTTGGGGTACCGGGGATTGAGCCACTGGGATTATAGGCATAAAGTTACAAAATATTTGGAACTAAATAATTTTAAATTATTATACATTAAAATGTGTGGAAATGCAAAAGTATTATAGGAAAGTTTTAACCCTAAGTGTTTTAAAAAGAAGAAAGATTGAAATTTCATGAGCTACTATTTTAAGAAATTAGAAAAAGAGCTGTGAAATAAATTCATAGAATTAGAAGAAAAGTGATCATAATAATTAAGACCAGGAATAATGAAACAAAATAAACATATAAGAATGCAGATTTTAGTCTAGTGCATGCCTGTAATCCCATCAGCTCCTGAAGCTGAGACAGGAGTATCACAAGTTCAAAGGCAGCCTGAGCAAAAGCAAGGAGCTAAGCAACTCAGTGAGACCCTTTTTGCAGAGAGGCCTGAGGATATAGCTCAGCAGTAGAGCTACTTGCCTGGCATGCATAATAGCCCTGGGTTTGATCCCCAGCACCACAAAAACACAAAATAATAATTTTTAAAAATCCAAATAAGTGAGTCAGGCATGCTGGCACCTGCCCATAATCCCAGCTACTCCGGAGGCTAAGGCAAAAGGATCCACGTTTGAAGTCAGCCTTAGCAACTTAGCAAAACTCTTTCTCAAAATAAAAAATAAAAAGGGCTGAGGATGTAGCTCAGTGGTAAAGTGCCCGAGTTCAACCCCCAGTACTAAAAACCCAAAGTACAAAAATCTATCCAAATAAACAGAAAGACATGCCAAGTTTATGGAAATTAATGAATAGCTACTCAATCTCAATAGTAATAAGGAAGATCCAAAGTAAATGACACCAATACACTAACACATGATGGCTACAATGCAGAAATCTGATGATAACAAAGTTGCCGAGGATGCAGAGCAATAGAGCACTCTGCTCTGCTGGTGGGCATGTCATCTGTTACAACTACTCTGGAAACCATTTCTTTGCATTAACTGATAGATCTGAACATGTGCATAGAGTGAGTGTTCCAATCTCAGGTATATGGGAAGACTCTTAATGAATTTTTTTTTTTGTGGGGGGTAGACATTGAGCCCAGGGGCGCTTAACCACTAAGCCATATCCCATCTCTTTTTATATTTTATTTTGAGACAAGGTCTTGCTAAGTTGCATAGGACCTTGCTAAATTGCTGAGGTTGGCCTTGAACTTTTGATCTTTCTGCCTCAGCCTCCTAAATCACTAGGATTATAGGTATGTGTTATCATGCCCAGAAGGACTCCTAATGTTTTCTAGGAGACATGAACAACAAATGGTTAGCCATAACATAGTTTAAAAAAAAAAAAAAGACAACCCAAGAAAACTGGAAAATATTTAAATTTCCACTAACAGAATGGAAAAATTGTCTATTCACTGAATAGAGTGCTAACAGCAGTAAAAATGAAGTACAGTCATACTCATTAACCAGAGACTGAACTGCAAAAAACACAATGCTGAGTAAAAATTTCACAGTCCCAAACACATAGCACCTTTAAAAATTTTTACATAAAGTCCAAAACAAGTAAAATGAATCAATGTTTTTAAAAGGTTCTTGTGTAAATTGCTACCCTATACTGAGAAGCAGGGGCATGGTTTACCTGAGTGGGAACAGCAGTTCTCTGGGTGAGCAGAGGGAGGTGCTGTCAGCAAAGGACATGCTGTACTTCCAAAGAACTCACATTCTACTCCTTTCACAGGTGACTTTTTTTTTTTTTATTCTTTAACCTACACATGAAGTTTTTACCATCCTCTGTAAGTATGGCAGATCCAGGGAGAAACATTTTACCAATGATGCTTGCCACTTGGGGGGGGGGGGTCAACTCAGGACCACTGAGATTAATCATGGTTTCAACTCCTAGACTCCATTCTAATTAAGTCTAAATATTAGAACACCATCTATTTCCATGGAAAAATCAAGGGAACTTCCTACATCAAATAGTAAATCAATGGGCTGGGGTGTGGCTCCATGGTAGAGTACTTGCCTCGCATGCATGAGGCAATGGGTTCGATCCTCAGCATCACATAAAAATAAATAAAATAAAGGTATTGTGTTCATATATAACAAAAAAAAATTCTAAAAATACCTCAGTAAATCAAAAGGAATAGTAAGCTAACTTTTCACAGTTTGCCATGTTATATATAATCCCAGGCGCCCCACCACCCCGCTCCATGCCTCCAATGCACACGCCAGCAAGCACACTTCTTTCCTTCACATAAGGTCAGAGACAGAAATAAATGAAGATATTTTTCTCATTTCAACTTTTTTTTTTTTTTGCCTCTCGCTCTGGGAGGCATGATCTTCACATATTTCTATTCCACTTCCTTCATTAACCTTTAAAGTAAGAAATGGATTATCTTTAGGCAAGCACAATAATCTTTTCATAAAATCAAGATCAGAAGCTCCGAGGGTCTTTATTTTCATGTCCCTTACTAGGGAGGGGGTAATGCCCCACCACTGGCCATTCTATCAGGTCTGCAGTCAGAAGTGTATTCAGAGCAGAGGGTTCTCTGTAAACAAAAGGGAAACTTGGGCTAGTGGCACTAATTAGTTCTGGATTAAAGGATGTGTTCTTTGGAAGCAATTCAACCTTCATGGAGTGGAAGCTGATTTTTCAGTAAGAAACATCAAGATTTCATTTTTAACCTTCTAGTTTACTTGACTTTCAGCCTCCACATACCTTTATAAAAAGATGACACCATGTGTTCAGATTTGAAATTCAGCCCTGCTTTTATATAACTCATTTGGGGGGTGTATGATTTAATATTTTGATATTGTTTTTTCCTGGCTGACTTGAGTCACTTCTCAGTGATGAATGTAATATGTGTTATTTAACATCCGACAAAATAATCCAGAATTGAGGTTGAACAAAGACACTGTGACTGTCTTTTACAGAGGAAGTCTGTGAATTTAACCTGAGATTAGCATTAAATTTCACTTCATTCTATGTGTTCTGGTGATAGTAAGTACTCTCATGTTTGTTTGTTTGTTTGTTTGTTTGTACCAGGGATTGAACCCAGGGGCTCTTAACCACTGATCCATATCCCCCCATCCTTTTAAAAATATTTTATCTAGATACAGGGTCTTGCTGAGTTGCTTGAGGTCTTGCTAAATTGCTGGGGCTGGCTTTGAACTCTCACTCCTCCTGCCTCAGCCTCCCAAACCGCTGGGATTATAGGCATGTGCCACCAGGCCCACCCACCCACAGTATTTTAAAGGC